GTCTCTGCGTCTGGGTCCTCCACACAAACAGTGATTCATGACATGGTGTTAATCAGTTATTTTACAGTCCATGGCATTAAAGGGACATGTAATGTCTAATTGGAAGTGATCTTGTACAGACCAATTCTTAATTTGTTATGTCTACTTTCAGTAAAATTAGACTTAAATTTATTTTGTCATTTTGTATACACAAGTGTAAACAAAAAGAAATTTAGTTTAGATCAGCTCTAGACAATTTCATATTTTAAAGTGCAGCCTTGAAAACAGTAATAAATACATAAAGAAAATAGTAATATAAACATAGGACTGTATATTTACAGTTCTAGTATTTATTTTTTTATATATAAATAATATAACCCATTTTACATAACATTCAACAGTCTGATGGCAGAGATGGGAAGCTGTTATGAAATCTGCTGGACCTGCATCGGAATATATGGGCAACACCAACTCTAAGTAATAAAAAGAAGAAAAATATCCTCTACTCTTACTTCCTTTACAGTTGAGCTCATCTGAACTGTCTCCACAGTCGTCTCTCTCATCACAGACCTTATTCTCTGAGATACATTCTTGGTTCTTGCAGGCAAATTCTCCTCTTTCACATAAGCCTGGAAAAACAACAGGACATCTGACAAACTGGCCCATAACTGTGCCACAACAATTATAAAAAATAAAGAGTGCTTACCACAGTTCAATTCATCTGTGTTGTCTCCACAGTCATTTACACCATCACATTTCCAGAACATGGGCTTACAGAGCCCATTTTTACAGGTTATCTTGTCGGAGCTGCATTCTTGAGAGGAAGAGGTTGAAAAATTTTTACCATTAAACTGCCTTGGTAATAAAACCAGAGCTAAAACAAGTAATGAGCAAATAACATACTGCATTTTTCCTCGTCACTATTGTCTCCGCAGTCATTCCAGCCGTCACATGTTAGGTTACTATCGATGCACCACTGATTTTTGCAAAGGAACTTATTTGGGCAAGCTGTGGATGATGCAGAATGCATGAAAAACAGAAGGACGCTCTGGAAAAAAAACATTAAATGTAAACATAGCTCTGCCACTTACGACCTTTGATGTCAATGGCCTCATATTCTGCTGAAAAGCCTCGGTCCACGTAGGAGTAATCAGAATGAAAAGACACCTTTATTTTGTTGGTTTTGCTGGTTTCTACCAGTGTCCCTTTGAGGTTCTCTCCACACAGTCTGAAAAAAATATTTTCAGAGAAGTGACAAAAAAACCCCCATAAATTTTCATCCCAGTTTAAAATCCCGGACTAATCTTGTGAACTTACCTCTTTCCATCATCGATCATGACGTAATCTTTGTCACAATTTTTGCCATCCTCCTGGCCAGGCTCTGCCAAGAGCAACTTTTTGAATGTTACTTTCACTGCCTTATCCTTAGGGACCTGAAACAAGAAGGATTGTGAGACAAAATCTTACAGACATTGAAGCATGCCTACATAGGAGCACAATAAATCAGTGGAGAATGTGTCCATGTGGAAAACTCACTTCGATTTCCCAAGCACAATCGATTTTAGGAGGATAGTAGTTTGGATAGTTTGGAGTAGAGAAGGTGCCTCTTGTGCCTGTTAGTTTGGAACCGCAGCTCTTACCTGGAAGAGAAACAGGAAATATACATGAAAAACATCCAACAATTATTAGTATTGTTATACAGTGAGGAAGATAAGTATTTTAACACCCTGCTCTTTAGCATGTTCTCCTACTTAGAAATCATGGAAGGGTCTGAAATGGTCATCGTAGGTGTATTTCCACCGTAAAAGACATAATCTAAAAAAAAAATAAAAAATCCAGATATGATTTGTTTTAACTATTTATTTGTATGATACAGCTGCAGATATTTGACCACCTGAGAAAATCATAGTTAAAATTTGGTACAGTAGCCTTTGTTTGCAATTCCAGAGGTCAAACATTTCCTGTAGTTTTTCACCAGGTTTGCACACATTGCCTGAGGGATTTTGGCCCACTCCTCCACACAGATCTTCTCTCTATCAGTCAGGTTTCTGGGCTATCGCTGAGAAACACTGAGTTTCAGTTCCTTCCAAAGATTCTCTATTGGGTTTAGGTCTGGAGACAGAGTAGGCCACGTCAGAACCTTGATATGCTTCTTGGTTATCCGGGCTGTGTGCTTCCGATCCCTGTCATGTTGGAAGACCTAGCATTGACCCATCTTCAATGCTCTAACTGAGGAAAGGAGGTTGCTCC